CCACCGCGTCGCCCGCGCCCACCGCCTCGCCTGCGCCCACCGAATCGCCCGCGCCCACCGAATCGCCCGCGCCCACCGCCTCGCCCACCGCGCGCTCGTAGTACTTCTCGAATATGTCTGCAACACATACAAAATAATTAAACATTTTAGAAGTACTTCTAACTTCTGCGTTTAAAGTCGTACGAAATCTATGTCATTAAGTCTCTTGACATTGATTTACTATCTAGAAATCTGCATTTAGGACTCAGGGTGCGGCAACAGTACGTCCGCCTCGTCACGTCTGGCCGATGAAAAAATCAATAGAAGCAACAACAATTGCGAATGGCGACATCGAAGCGCTCACCAAGTAATTTATCATATATATTGTTTTCCATCATCTGTATGCAGTAGCGGTCGTCGCGCGCGAAGTTGCCGATGGCGAGCAGCGCGGTCGGCAGCAGCTCGCCCTCGCCCGCCTCCAGCCAGCGCACCGCCTGCAGGTACACCGCGCCCGCGCCCTCCCCGTACAGCGCGCGCATCGCCTCGTCTGCACACACACAGCACACCGCACAGTCACTCCCACACCCCGCCCTCCTCCACCTCCACCTCCGCCTCCACGCAACTCGCGCCACCGACCTCCCGTCAGCACTATGACGATGAGGTCGCAGGCCAGCTTGGCCAGCGCGTCCAGCTCGGCGTGCGGGCCGGCCAGCTCGCCCGTCGCGCGCCGCGCCCTCAGCCCCTCCAGTCGCGCGCACAGCAGCTGCACGCCGCCCTCGCGCGCCAGCAGGCTCTTCACCTCCTCTGCATCGCAAACATCGCATCGCCATTACTGACCTCACTTCACTTGTATGATGTCTTGCACACAGAAGACAAACTCAATAATTGATTGGGACAATTATCCCACAAGCATATGTTTATAAAGTACTTATGTTTGGACGGCAGACTTCCTCCATACACCTTTTACTTTATAGTAGTAGGGGAGGCGAAGCTGTTGCATAAAACGTAAAGTCTAAACCTGCCTAAATGCACAGACACCAGGGATTTAGGCGTTTATCATGATAACAATTTGTCCTTTAATATGCATATTGACTCTATTGCCAAAAAAGCTTCCAAGTCGCTCGGGTTTATTATGTGACTCGCTAAACGCTTCACTAAAGCTAAGACTCTAAAAATACAATACTGTAAATAAGTTAGATTATGTGTCGCAAACATGGAATCCTCGATACCATAAATATATTGATAGGTTAGAAAATATACAGAAACGATTTATAAAGTTCCTTTGCTTTCACCAAAGACTTCCTTATCACTCTAAAGACTATATCCTCCTTTGTAAAAAATTCCATTTATTACCGCTTATGAATCGTCGTGATATTGCCGACTTCATGTTTGTTCATAAAATACTAAAAAAAATATTAACTGTCCGGAACTACTATGTAAATTCAACTTCAGTGTGCCTAGTAAATCTTGTAGGCACAATCCCATCATAAGCGTACCGTACGCGTCAACTAATTACAGGCAGAACACGTGTGTGGTGTGTGCGAGCTCCAGATTCAACACACTGTGCAACAAGTTTAATATTGACCCGTTTGCCTCGAGTGTGCTCTCAGCAAGGAGTTGCCTAAGCCGGGACTTCTTTCAGATAACTTGAGCTGAGCTTGAGGTGGTTGAATATAAAAAAAAACTGATGTATTTATATTTCCTGTGCTGACTGACAAACTGGTTAAGCCAATGCTATAAGTATAGACTTGTAAATAGCTAAATATTAATTATCTTGTCTCTTATTGTTACTTTCTAGATGTAAGTCTACCATGAAAATAAATAAATAAAGAAATTCCAAGTTGCAAAACTAAACATCACCTTGGCATTGTTGAACTCTACCGTTAGGGTACAAGGTTGCCCTTTGTGTTTAACTAACACCCTTGAGTAAATCCCAAAATACCTACATCCCCACGACATACTTAGTGTGGCATCCGCTCACCGTGCTCGGCCTGTGTGAGCAGGTGTTCGAGGCATAGCTCGGACACTGCCATGCTACTCGTCTCCTGCAGCACCTCCAACACTATCTTGTTAATATGTGGCTCAAACAGTAGTTCAGGTGTATTGTCATTTATAACACTGAGAATTAGCAGGGCGGTTGTTACCTCTTCATCGTTCATCACCTCTTTCAAGCTTTCACGCAGAAGTATTTTATGTTGCACATCTATTACACCTTCATTCACTATTGACTCGGAGAATTGTTTTCCTCCGATTGCAAAATTTAACAAAGTCTTGCTTGTGAGCAATCTGATCTCTGCCAACTTGTCATCTCCTAATGTTTTGGTCAGTAGTTTCATGAGTGTTGCTGGCCCGTTGTTGTCTAAAATAATATTTCTAGCAGCGTCGCAATCACAGCACAGGTTGCCGAGAGCCCGACAGCATTGCTTCACTAGTTCCACAGACTCTGCACTTATTTCCTTGCTAACAATATTTAACAGGGGATCGATAAACTCTTTATGAGCGTACGTTTCTCTTTTAATGTCACATTTAGCAAGTTCAGAGATGGCCTGCACGCACGACAGCACGATATCTTGATCGCTGCGACTTAAAAGTGATTTAAGGCATGATGATACATCATGCTCGTAATTTTTTCCAGCGCTAATAATTTCCTTTAATTTATCTTTTAATTCACAAATATTAGTTATACTTTGAATGTTTAAGGCTTCAACAGAAGTCGAATTCTTTGGTGAAGTCCCTGCAAATATTAACGAACCGTAAATTATATAAATCACAATAAAAACATGAAAAATATTAGAATTCACGCACCATCCATGTCGGAAGAAAGGAGAATGATATAAAATAAACTTTTTATTAAGGCTAACTGTGATTTAGGCAACTTTGTTTTCTAGCTTAAACATCTTTTTTAAAAATCATGAAAACTCTCAAAGAAAATTTAATGAATAAATAATTTACACTACAACTACAACAATCAATATGGAATTAACGTCAATGTCAATGTCTTTTTGACATTATAAGTTGATTAATTTGACAATACACCATCGGGTGTACCAAGGTGTACCGCGATTGCGACTAGCTTATCTGTTCCGGTATGAGAGGCGCTGCTATAGCCGTTGGTTCAGCCAGAAAATATAAAAAAAAAACCTACAATGGTACACTGAAAAGTATAAGTCTCAATCAGTGGTCTCAGTATATAAATTTTCAATGACATAAAAAGAAAAAACATGTAAAATATGATAAGACAGCTATCGTACAACGAGGATAATGAGACAGTTTTTTTTTATTTATAGTACATTAGCATGTGACCACTTGAATTCTTCAAAATAGCGAAGTGACCGCTGCCCATAGACATCCGCAAATATAAAGGCGTTGCCCAATTTATATTTTATATATTTTATATACTCTTTGGCGTTGCCTATCTTTAATCGACGGACGAGGGGACGCAAAGTGAGAGAATACTTCCCCTTTACTATGCGTCCACTTCTTCGCTTCGTATCCTTTCCTCATAGCAAGACCTCTGGAACGCAGACTCATCACAAGAAATGCGGAATTATTTCCACTTCACACATGTCTTCAGTGTGGTCATGGTTTTGCATTGGGCGAGCGAACCCATTTTGATGATGATGTACAACAGACGTTATTTTTAAATTTAGAGGGTCAAAGCCAGTGAGCTGTCATTTGATTTATGCCCACAGAGTCAAATAACTTTGTCGGTTTGTACCAAGTATATTTAGTAAAACAATGATATCTGGTCCGGTGCCAGAGAAGACACAAGTAGTCTAGATAATAATTGCCTGAAATACCAGAGCTTGGTTCTTATACAATTGCTTTGCCAGCAATGGAATGGTTCCAGTTACGCTGGTATTGTTGTACGAGATAGAAAATAAGTAAATCCAGTTACTGGGCTGGTTCGATCACATGGTCATTACGGTTTACATTTTTTAAGTCGTAATCTTGCGCTGGATTATGTAATTGCCGAACTAGAATAATGTAAATTGGATTGACACATTTAGCACGCGTGTTTATATTTATAAAGGTTATTGATGGTAAAGTGTGCATACTATTATAGTATAGCATTTAATATTCTTTTGCTATTATGTACTACGCGTCGTGCCGATTAAAATACAAGTTAATACATGAATATAAAATAAAAACTCTGTATGTACACATAGCACGCCAATCGGTGTTCTTATCGAAGAATAAAAAGCTATTAGATTTTTAGTGCGGCGGCTGCGCTCAGGTATAACGAGTTGGCGATAAGCGGCAGCTGAGCTGCGCCGCACCGCAGGCTGTACTCCTCGATATCGGGCACTGGGCACAGGGTACTGGGCACTGGGCACCAGGCACAGGGCACCAGGCACAGGGCACCGGGCACAGGGCACCTGGCACCGGGCACACTCGTCGACACCATGCGCCCGCCGCACCTAGCTATCGCGTTCGGCCTTTCCGTGGCGGCGCAGGCCCTCTGGGTCTGTGCTCCCACTCTGCCCAACGACCAAAACTTTAGATACGAGAAATTACAAAATTACGGACTAGGTAAGCGTGTAATGTGAGTACAACGTTTACAAAAAGCGACCATGATATGTTTATGAGGACCACGTTGGCACACAAACCGATTACATCATAATCGGACTTGGCGACGGTCCCTTTGTCACTTCTGGCCTCTAAAAAAACCTAAAGAGGCGGTGCAACTGGTAGCTCGTATTCATCGCTCCCATACTGAGAGCGAAAGTTCAGGATGGAAAGTACCAAACGTACGGGATTTCATAGTTTCGTCATGTAAACTTAGTATAAACCTAAAATACAAAATTTATTTCATTATTTTTTTAGTCCAAACTATAGACGTGTAAATGTTGGATACGCGTACCCGGAGCCGCTGCGTGGCGCGTGGCCTGCAGGGGCGACGGGCGCGGGTTACGTGCGCGCCCCCTACCGCAGCCTCTACCAGGGCGTGAGGCGCCGCGGCGACCGGCGCGTCTACATGAAGCGCTTCGACTACGCAGCTAAGCCCTCCGGCCACCGCATCTTCTGCCAGGCCATCACCGACTGCGAGGTGCGTCTCCGTCGTTCGTCTTTATGCTCATTTCGTCCAATGAGTAGTGCCGAAGGGTATGATTTTCGGATAAAGAAAGGATTGGTATCCCCTTAACCCTCCCAAGGTAAGCTGGATTTAGTGGAGGTGGGATGAATAGAAAAGGAATTATGTTTTTTAATATCATACGGGCGCCTGCTTTTTTTCACTTCGTACATATATTATAAGATATAATATAATAGTATTATAAGATATAATAGTATAAGAGATCGCGAGGCGAGGGGGTAGGCGAAGGCGAGATTAGTGTGTTGCAACAAAAACGGGAGGTTGCAGATCTCGCACGTGGCTATAGAGACTGGCGGGGGCGGGGGCGTGCCGGTGCTGCTGCGCGGCGGCGCGGGGTACCGCCATCTCAGCGTTGTGGTGAAGGCGCCCGCCGGCGCGCCACTGCGGGGCTCACTCAAGGCCTACTGCCGGGGCCCGCCGCCACCGGTCACGAAGAATTGACTAACTTATGTATGTAACAACACCCTATATATGTAAAGAAAATTAGAAAATAATAATTATTTTACCGTAAGATTTTTGTTTTATTTTTAATTATTTTGAATATGCTAAACTACATATTCTCATAGCCGCCATACAAAGATGATATATGAGGATAGACACGTGGATGAGTGCGGCGCGGCTACAGCACATATAATAATATGTACAAGGATCTTCTATTTTATAATGTCTAAAGATGGTATAATGATGTGTACATACGAATCTATCTATCTATCTAAACCTATTGAATATATTTCCTTCTTTTAAAAAATAAAGTAATCTTCTCTTTGTATTAAAATGTGTTTTTCCAATATTTTAACAACCTGTGGAGGGAGGGAGCATCGAATACTTCCACACCTGTCACTATCACACGTGTAATGCGTCATTACAGAAACAGACACACTTTCTTTTTTTATTTGTTATTGGTATACATTGACCTAAAAAAGAAAACGAGCATCCTGTATAACGTGATGTTATTAAATCGGGCAACATTCAAGGGCAAATGGCAAAAATATATAAACACTGAGGTCGATTTAAACGACTGTTTATTGTTTACAATACATAATTAAATAATGAACATTATCTTTTTGTTTTATTGGTATATTTATGAGCCGATCGATCACCTTCAACATTTGATAAGAAGTATCGAACTGGCCGACAGGTCCGGTCACTTGCAACACATACTCGTGTCCTACGTATACATATGAACAATCAATGAAATCAACACAAAACAATCACAAATTGTATTTGTTTATAAGGCAATTATAATCAACATTATATAACCTGATTATATTACTGTTTTCTTGGATAAATACAAACAGTAAAATCGAAAAAACAGTCGCAAAGAAGGTGTTTCTAAAGGATATTTCTAAAAGTAAATGATAATTAACCGTGTGTCCTTATCTTACTTTAGCTAAGGCTAGGGTCAGACAACAGGGGAAACAGAGATACGCCACCGCTGACTTTTCATTTCAACCTTAGGGTTTAACCTACGTGAACCGATAAACTCAATTTTTTAAGCAAAATTTGCGCTTGTGGTGGAATATCTCCCACTAAATTAAATTTTGGAGGTTCCCAGAAAATATTTTGTGGCTTGCAGCGAGCGGTAGAAGTCGACGCGGGGTCGGCGCTGGGTGCGCGGTGGAAGGCGCGGTTATTGCGCACAATTAAAGAAGCGGGCAGATCCCGTGGGACTGCGCCGGTTCTAACCAGCTCAGCCAATCTACAGGATGCCTTAACTAAGAAGATAAGTATGCAGCCTGCACATTGCACAATACATTACTAATCAAAACATCATCAAAATTCAAATTTTTCTTCTTTTTATAGTGCCATTCGTGTTTAGAAAATCAACATTTCAACAGATGATCTTACTGTCCGCTGAGTGCAGGTGTATTGAGTGAGCACGGGTTGCAGTTGTCAGTGGACCGAAGGTTGTTAAAAGATAGAAGATTCATAGAAGTCAATAGATAGATGGAATAGATAGTTCTCTAATACAATGTTTTTATATGTTTCAGTAAGTTTAATGTTTTAAAAGTAAAAACTGAACATCCTGTATTTGTAACAATTATCAACTGTTACTGCGCCATCCAATAATAACGGAGATGTGACGGCCATCTTAAATCACAAGTTCAGAGTCAAAGATGAGGACACCCCGCAGCCAGCAGCGGCCGCCGCCTGCTGCTGCACGCCAATAGTTCTCGCACCGCGCATCACACACCATCATCGCATCGCGCACCATGTATCTGTGCGGTATATCACAATTTTTTCGGCGCCAGAGAATCATTTTAGAGAAGGCAAGTAGCACAGATTGATTTATTTTAAAGTAGACACAGTGACTTTGTGAACGTATGATGTAAGAACGGCGCGTTTTACTTAATTAACATAACTATTAATAACATAAACATTACGTTTGATGTTTCTCATCATGTAACATTTTATATTCTACGTTCCTAATAAAAGAGTTATCTCAGGCGACGCTCATCTTGTTTTCGTTTAAAATTGTGAACGGGTAATATGTTTAAAAATAATCTATAGTGATATTATAAAGAGAAGGCTCTGAAACTAGTGAACCAATTTGATTTTTTTTAACTGTTGAGAAGCAACACCATCCCCGGACGATACTAACTAACGATAATAACTAGCATTTGCCTACGATTCCGCGCGGACGAAGTCGTAGGCAACTGCTAGTTACGTATAAAATAAGAACTCTAAAATGTGTTATTTTTATTTTAGAAGGTTACAGATTGGGTAATGCTAATATTTTTATACATTATATAATAAAATTACATTTCTTATACTATTACTGCTATATAAATAAAAGCAATGAACACTAGTCGCAGTAGTTGTACGCACAGCGAGATATTTCCCTCGCTCCCTCCTCCCTACACATGAGCCAGGATGAGGAGTATTCTCGCTTGCCCCGCACGCGGCTACTGTTGGCGATATGTTGGCTGCGGCTGAGCCACTACCAACTCTGCCATAACAAGTTACAACAATACCTTAACATTAAATTAGTTTCACCGTATGTGTCATCCTGGCTCATATCGCTACTCGCCGCTCACCGCTCGCCGTTTACCGCAAGCCGTCCGCCGTGTGGTCGTAGACGTACTCGGGACAATTAAACTATACAATAAAACGTCTTCTCGGTACATGTTGATTGGTGAGGGAGATTACATTTTGATGTGTGCGTTTGCTGTTTACGTAGCTAAATTCGGCGAGCTGGCGGACAGCCGGGCACGCCGCGTTGCCGCGTTACCGGCTAACTTGCCTTCTTTAAGAGACTCTTCTTGAACTCGTCCAGACTGTAATTAACTAACTAAAAATTGCTTTATGGTATTAAAATCAGTGTAACAAATAAACGATACAATGTATTTGTTATACCGGTAACGGTTGTTACGAGTTTAATTTGGGAGTTATAGAAGATTCTGATCTTTTATGCTCTGTTCTCATTCACTTTTAAGACAAATTTAAAAAACTTTACTGCTTCTCATTGCAACGCTAAATTACAACCTGTCGCCTGCCCATTAAAAATAGGCAACGAATCTGCAACATTTTGAATTATTGCAAATGTCTACGGTAAGGGGATTACAGGTAGCCGCATTGTAGTTTGTCACTAGGTACTATAAAAAATCGAAGACTCAGGAAATTGCATAATTCAACAAAACAGTTTTCGCCGGTCCGGCCTGTGGTGTGCAACGGTTCCAGGAGGCTGCACACTGGGGTCCGCAATTTGTATGGCGTCATTTCTTATATGGCAATAGACCGCTTTGAAAGATTGTTGCAGATCGTCCAATGTCGTCCGCTTCAGTTCCTAGCTGTCCGCACTATAATATATTCATGACTACATATGTCACCTGCGCCGTGCCTCGTCTGGTCGCAAGCGGGGACAACCCCGCCGGAACTAACTAAATAAAAGAGAAAAGAGATGTCACTACATCGCTGATATTCGCGCGTCTGATCCAATTTTAAATGTCACCTCGTTACAAATGTACAATGGCGGGGGATCAGGGGGGCGGGAGCTCGCGACCGTCGCCGGCGCGCCGCTCAGTGCCCGGTCCGCGCCCGAGCTGCCGCGCACTGCCATCTCATTAGTGCCCGCAGAATCCGTGCCGCAATCCCCGGCCGGTACGCGCCGCGTGTCTCCAAGGCCAGGCGGCTACTCCTAGCTATGGAGAGAAAGAGGTGAACTCGTCTTGTTTGTCCTTTCTGAGCTCTTTAAAACAGACAACCGTATCGAACATATTCCTCTCTGAAAATATTTCTTTGTAGCAAAATTTTGATATACAAAAACTTTTTAAGTACATGATACAAAACAAACGTTGGCAAACGATACTTTTAAGGGAGGTCTCATGGATTTTATTATTTAATCCGGTCATAGCCCTCCTCTCCTCGTTCAACATTAACACACATAGTTGTCTGTCACATGCCACTCTTCCCTTCTCTTGACATGGTCACACAATGCTAAACGTTGCTTGCTCTTTGCTCATTTCATTACGACTGGTGCTACTTGGGTGCTACTTGCAACTTGCAAGCTTTCCTTAATTTACTTGGTTTGTATCATACCTATATCGTGCTACGCCAAGAAACAAATATTTACTTTGTTTTTATTGATCTCTTTCACCGGCAACACTCTGATTATGACCACATTATGATTTTATATGTTATTTTATATGTAGTGTCACAAATGTATCCGGTGGTCCGGTGGCAGCTCTGTTATCACATTAGTTCTATCGTCCAGAGAGCAACACTCTGAAATGGAATTTATGACACTCTTTCACATTGATCAGTTTGTCGCACAAAGAAAATGATACACAAGACATGACTGTTGTCACCGCGCTGTACTTCCCGTCACCTTACTTCTTTACGATTCGTTAACGATTCTTATATACACTTTTATGTTTGGGATTGGTTTGACATTTGAAAATACGAGTACGACTTAGCGATTGGGGCAGTAAGGTATGTATACGAATGCTGTGCAAGAACTCAATGCCTCTAACATCTGATCTGTTTTTAACACATCAATACCAATAGTGATTAGAGTGCGCGGAGGACCGCCGGCGGGAGGCAGTTCTACAGCTTCGCCTTTTGTCATTTCTAAGCATTCCTTGTGTCTGTCATTGGAAGATTAGCTGGGGTCCTTGAACTGCATTAAACTCGCGACTACTCTCGCCTCGTTGCAAAGTAAAACAGAGGCCGTCGCTGGCGCGGCGAGGGGGTGCATATTGACGATATGTGCGCAGGTCGCGCCGCGCGTCGCTGAGCGCGGGGCAGCGGCGCCGGCTGGCCGTGCTGCGCTCTGCCAGCATGCCGCTGCCGTTGTCCTCGGTGAGCCACATTTACCATGTCGTAGCCTGCCCGACGCTCTGTTGCCACAAGGTACACAGTAGTTTTCATTGCGTGCGCTTTACGCTTCGCATTACTAACACCTCGCTACAACGCTTTGGCAAAGTGTGACAGAGATTTATTTGATGTGGAGCCCTACTTACAGCATCCTACGTGGCCGATTCGGTCGTGCGGCGGTGTGGTGACGTCATCTCCGTAGCTAATCGCCGTTATGATTTGCTTTAAACAAATAATTAAGTGCCCTCTGCGTAGAGAGTCACTTCCTTTGTACAAATACACACAGTGGTCGGCAGACTAAACATTTTAGCGAATAGTTTACGCTTCGCTAAGACGAACTCGTCGCGCTTCCTTTTAATGTCATTTTGCAATATTGTACCTGGCAAACATTAGCAGCGGAGACGACGGTCCGGATTGAGGGCGGGCTGGCCAGTCACGTCCGACGCTACGCATGCGACATAAGTTTTCGTTTTAAAAAATTGTTAACGCTACACGCGATTTGGGGAAAGCGTATGCCATTCCGAAAGACGATGTCCGCAAACGTTTCGGACATGATACCGACAAATGGGAGTATAGTCATTGTTTACGGCATCTTCTAGGTACATAAATTATACGCAAAACATTTTTTCGTCACAAATACTTTGGCAGGTGGCGGCGGCGTTGCCCCCCGCGCCCGCCCTCCGCGCCCGCCCACTACGAAACGCTCACTAAATAGACGCTTGTTTCGAACGATATCATCTTTTTGTATTATTATAGAACGATATTATTATTAGGTAATTCTTTCAGGAACTCGTGTTGGGGTTCGTGTTATGTAACCGCTGTGTCTCTCGTTGCTCTACCTTAGTTACAGTCACTTTTCTCTAGAAAAGAATATTTACCGATAACCTCGGAATTTGCTGAAACGATTTTAAAAATCCGTTGTTTTATAGATGGCTCGTTTTCCGTGAACTAGCGACCCGTCCCGGCTTCGCCCGGGGCAAAGGATACAATCATCATCTGAGATTTCTGATACTTCTGTTCACATATTTGGATATGGATTATTGTTATAAAATTGAACAAATTGCGTGACAAATAACGTAGGATTTTTAATGACTTATTATAAAGAAAAAGTGATCACAGTAAGATAACCGTAAAATATATACTTTTTCAACAATGACATATAATGAATAGTTGTACACAAATAATCCGGAACAAATAACCACCAACATGATGGTGAAAACTTCGCAGCTTAGCAGAACGTTCAATCCAAAGTGGGGTTCACGAAAAGTGAATTATTATTACTTTAGATAGTTGATACATAAGCTTATCTTCATTCTGTGCCACTGACTGATTGCTTCTTCACTAACTGGTGCTTAGCACATTTATATGATGGACATCGTGTCTTGCGTTGCGTGCGCGGGCCGGGGAGGTCGCGCAGCCGGCGCTGATGCCAAACGCCCGCGACCAAGGGAAAGTGGTATGTCATCGGGCGGGCTGCGGGCTGCGGGCTGCGGGCTACTCTTTGCGCCTCTGATCCAATTTTAAATGTCAGCCGATAGTTGTGCGAGCGTGCCCGCCGCGCTCGGTCACTCTTTCTCGGGAGTTGCTCCACGCAGCAACTCACGCGTAGCATCACGCGCTTCCTCTCGCGGCATTTCACGCGGCACCTCGCGCGCGTTCTACGTCTCTGGCCTGGTCTGGTCTCTGGCCGCAGACTTGTGTAGCACTGTGCTTACGCTATAAGCCTTTTATCCCTTTTACAATAACTAAATATGTGTCCTAGCTTCGAGTAAAGTCAGCGATGGAGAGGAAAAGGTGACAGTGGAAGTATACATTTATAATACGAGCTACCTTACCGCCTGTTACATACTTTTATCTATTTTTAATTTTCTTTCGCAAACTACTTACGCTCCCGCTTCATTGGCAAACAAAGAGTAAGTCCCGATAGCCGCTAACTGTAGCCGTGAGTGTCAACTGCTGTCATCTTTGTATTCATATATAATATAATATGTTGTCATCATCCACACTCACAGACAACAATTATCTGCCGGCAGAAATATTACAGCAGTGGAAGCCCACAGTTAATTTAAATAATCAAAAACGGGAGGAGATATTATTGTAGTTATTATTGCGTTACCACACAAGAGATTCACTGTTAGTGATATAAAGCCATCAGTCACCCATCAGTAGATATATTCGCTTTTGCTTTAAAGAATTCCCTAATTTTTGTATAATAGCAATACTGATGAAGGCAACGTTAGCAAGGCATGTGAGTATGGTATGCGATCTATTCCGTGTCTGGGTTTTACAACCAGATTAGTGCCAGTGTTTGCTAGTATTAATAAAAGTGAACTGCAGATCGTACGGCTTCTGTTTACGTTTACTTACTAGCTATATTATATAATTGAATTGCTACTGTTAGCTTGCTCATTGACTTTGTTTATATATGTTGTACAAATCTTCTTACCTTCATTAGACGCGTATTGACGCGTTATCACATTTTTCTGGAATTTGGGGCACACCTTTAGTCGTGAAGACATTACAATACAAAACAATTTTTCATATTCAGTCCAATGTATGAAAGCACTCCACCAGCAGAGTGTTTATTGTATGTCAAACATTTAAAGTTTTCGCCCTCACGAAACGGTGGATGACATGTTTTTGTATGTACAAGCGCACAAGCATGTGTATCCAATGAAAGGATTTCACTAATAATATTATACATGAAACTTGGTAAATCCTATTAAATACCAACTTAAATATGAATTGCTAAAAGTAAGAATTGACTTAGACATGTTTTTTTAATATTCCTTGTTTAGATGCAAGCGTAGACAATAAAGTAGTTTTAGCAACATCATTGTTTTGGCACTAAAACTATATATGCATTTAGGGCATTTTAGTAAAGAGATAAAGGGAGCGGTGCGCTAGCTTAGCTCGCTTCTGACTCTCGCCTTCCGACGCTTTCAATAAGACGATGCTGCGTCGCAAGATGCGCCGCCTGAGCGCGGAGTCCGCTGACCCCTCGGCCTATGACCTCGCCAGGAGCCGGCGCGCCTCGCTCAGCGCGGAGCAGCGCCGGCGCCTCAGCTTGCTGCGGGCGGCCAGCGCGCCGCTCCCGCCCGACCCGGCGCCGGTGAGCCACCTTTACCATTCGCTCCCCTGCCCGCGACTCTGCTGCAGCCAGGTCTGTGTCTGCCCTTCCCCTGCCTACCCTGCCCACTCGTCTCACTTCGCCATCTATTCTCTAACATAATATGTAACACTACTAACCCACCAATGTTTGACACCAGTAAGTACATCTATCTTACTTTTATATTATTACAAGTTGTCGCCCGCGACTCCGCCAGCGCGGTATTAAAAAAAACAAATTTCGTCGAGATTCGTTGAACCGTTTTCATTTGCCATTTCCGCACAAGTTGTACTAAAATCCTTCATCATCATCATCATCAGCTCACTCTACGTCCCCACCGAGGGGCTCGGAGCCTACCCTAAATTAAGGGTGACGGGTTGGTTGACTTCACACATATCTTTGAATTTCCTCTTAGATATGTGCAGGTTGCATCACGATGTTTTCCTTCACCGTAAGAACGTCGGATAAATGTACATATGTAAATCGGAAATCGAAAAACACATTGGTACATGGCAGGATTCGAACCCAGGACCTGCAGATTGCAAGTCAAGTGCTTGACCGCTGAGCTACCGACGCTCCTAAACTCCTTGCATGACTACATGAAAGACTAAAACCCTTGCATGTTTTGAATATTGCATTTGTGTAACATAGTATTGTTTTTAATGGTTTGGATCTGAGCTCTGTATCTTATGTTCTGCTGACGTTGAGTCCCCTCTCTTAAATATAATACTTGTACAAAAACATATTGTACACCCCCTTATACTGCAGCATTGAACCTCGCGGTAAACCTGTACAGTGTGTACAGTGTGTACATGCTCAACAAAGTTTAACGCCCGCGAATACTCTAGCTCTAGCTCTCACTAAATATAAGATATAAGTCGAATTCAGCATTCATCAGTCGTGGATTAAACATTACTTACATGTCTGAGAAACACTAGAGTAGACGCCTGATATCAACAATTACTACGGCAGAATCTCGCGTTACAAATACTACGCAATCGATAAAGTATTTCCTTGATCGTTTGTTTACAACTCTATTCAGGTATTCGGAGCTCAAAGCGCGAGATCGTGAAATTTTCAAGTTTGTGCGGTGCGATACGTTTACAGTATTTAATTATTTATATGCAATTAGGCGCCAGAACTAGCGGCGGCAGAAAATATCGTGCTAGAGAGTTACGATGTTACGATACGGACCTGCCGGCAATTGATTTACGAGATTACAACAGTCGCGGTTGCGTCATGCGCCTGCGCCGCGCCGCTACTATGGATCGATTGTCGCGGGAAAATGTATTGCTGCTTTTTTTCGTTAGGCACTTTATTACCACTTGCCGCTTATCACGCCTCGCTCTCTTTAGACATGTTCGTTAAAACATAATAGCTCAAATTATACAATGGCAATGACAGTCAATGTATTATTCGTTTTAACGTTTTAAACCAATACAGCGTGTTCATGTAATACGAGACGGAGCTTCAGCTATGAGCTATTAAACGATAGCTCCAGCTTCTTGTCAGTCACAGGTTTACCTTAATTAGTACTGAAACACCGCGCCTGTATCTTCTCTTTTTTAAACTAATATTTATCTATACAAATACAATAAAGCATTGTACAATTACACAGAAAGTTTCAGTATCGCAGAATGTTTGTTCACCATTCATCGCATATTTTATCAGAGTCCTTTATTTTGTAATATATAAAAATGTAATAATAAAAAGGCCTCTACACGCTTTAGGATATATATTTCCACGATATTAAACTTAAGGGTGAGTAAATAAAAAAAAGGTATGCGAAAAAAAGAGAAAAATGGCAAATTAAAAGCAGCAAAGATCAAAAGATGTTTACCGCAAAGGTCTATCATAATGTCATTTGCAGATTTGCATTTTGATATTTGCAAAAAAAAGTTTTACGGAGTGTAACAATAAACCAAGTTTTTCTGTGTAAGAAAAATGAATTATATTGTCATGCGTATGAAGCCGGGAACGGCTAGTTGATATATAAAGCATGAGACCAAGAGTAGAAGCAGCTGAGCCAGACCGGACGTAGGTAGGCATGTGTACATTGCGACAGTACAATTAATGCGCAATTGACCCGCCGCCGCCGCCTCAACTAGCCCACTACATAAGTACCTATAACTGTATACTGGTTCTCGCTAACTGAGAAACTATTATTAATAATAAATTATAATTATTATAAGAGAGCATCGATTGATTGGTATTTAAATCAGTAATGATGTTGGAACAAGACGCGACTGCGAGGGAAAATGATTTCGCTAAATAAAAAAAATAATCGTGCGCTTTAAATTTCACCTACCTGTAACGTTATTTAGGTTAAGCTCAGTTCTTTAGGCTCACGACTATGATACGATATTTTCGTAGGAAAAGTAAACAGCAAGACAGAGGAGTGAGGAACAGAGAAGAGACTGCGGAAACTGTCACATCTGCTCGTGGTAGCTAGAGGCGATACCTTACGATACCTACCTAATGACCGAACGTTTTATTTGTATTATTTAGTTTTGTTATAAAATCTATATATAACTTTGTATTTTTGCCGGTGACGCAGGAAATATTGCAACACGGCGCGGGCGCACCGCAGCCGAGACATTTCTGGTGCGCCGGCGCAATTCTTGGCACCGGCTCGTAAACAATAAAGTTCGACGCGCGGCTGTTAACCCGCTAACGTAACGCGCCGATTAACCGCAAGCGACTGTTCTCTTGCTGCGTTCTTGTACATTGCATGGACGATGGAGAGAAGCGACTTCATACCGTCGGGACCTCTACACGATCAGAGGGCTTCATTAAATCTTTCAGACGTAGTATAGTTATGATACAAGAAGAGTACTACTCTTTGTCACAAGAAAGTGAGGTACTATTGTTGCTCTGGAATTCAGCGTGGACAAGTCGAAAGTTGTTGAAACGATTATCGAATAGATCAGAAATTGTTCTGCAATAAGCGGGAGAGTGTGAATACGCCTTAGGAGCGTTTATTAAAAGCGATGGAGGAGCGACGACGGCGGCTGCACTCCGCCCCCGGCAACCGCGCGACGCGCTGCCCACTTGCCGACTAGCAGCACTCGCCATCGCCTGCCACCACTGACAGCGTCCTCATCTGCGTCATGGTAGACCGCGGCGGTTGCGCTCAGGTATTGAACATATGACGGTGTTGAGACGTATACCAAGCAGTTTCAAATTCTACGAATTTGAAACATTGTGGAGTGATTGTAGAGGTGAAGTGACGATTACTCGACTGCTTTTTCCTTACTATTGTATCATTTTTTTTTGATGTATCGAGATATAAGCAGTAAGCAAAAACATTGATTTTTTTAAATTTTAATTCTTTTATTTATTTAATGTATAATAGATGAGCCGCTTAAGTTTACGTTCTTAAGTAAAACATGCAAGGGGTCGTACCGGGGCGCGGCGTAACGTCTCCATTGTTGACTATTTTAGGCCGAGACTATGTTGTCGCTCGAGTCGTTAACACAACACCCACCAACACTACGGATGACAATTGATTCATTTTTACAACATTATGGTGTGAAGTGGCATGTGTGTTTGAAACCAATTTCATATAAACTCTGTGACGCCATAACTGAAGCCCGTCTCCGATTGTTGCAGAAGTACGTGGTGAGCACGGACCGCAGTGGCGACATCCACGTGCATGTGCAGGTTAGTCTCGCCCTAAATCATAAACAATTATTTTATCTATATTTCCATGGCAAGAGAGTCTGACTGTCCACTATAGCGATAGCTTTAGCCAGTTGTCTGTGAGCGAGAACGTTTTCCCGCCTGTCCGCCTGTCGGCCTGTCTGCGTTTGCATTGTTTTCGCACTTCTTCGATAAAACAGTATACTTAATTCATTTTATATATTTCCTAGCTATCGCCCGGAACTCCTTCCGCTCAGGATTATAAAAACATTTTTAGTAACCTTCAGTTGTCGAGTAGAGCAGAGCCATATGCCACGTTACTGGCATCAACGTTGGGGGTCGAGCTGACTGCCTTATTTCAAAAGTCTTACTGCTGCAGCTTTTAGTAAGGAATCGTATTTCACTCACACACCAATTCCTTATTCTAAGTACATAATAATGTTTATTCTGTAGCTGTGTAAAGGAAAACGCTGGAGCGGCTCTCCATGTCAGTCACAAGGCGAGACGAGCACCTTGTCAGCCTTCGCGGCTAGGTGGTCTCGATGAGGAATACATTGTGATGCACATAAAGTTCAATAGGCGCCGACCGACGTCAGGCGACACGTGAGGGTGTCGAGATTAGGTGACAAGTGACCAGTTGTTCTTTTGCAGGGCGACTTGAGCCAACAGGACAAGAGATGCGTTTTCCTCACAGTCCATGATTTGGGCACGAATCGTGAGTCATATTCCATTATTACCAATCAAATAATTAATAAAAAGGTCATAATTTAAAGCATTTCTCACTTTAACCTATCTTCGGTAACGACCAGGGGCTTGGCACCTTATGCCCCACTCTAATTTCTTACTTAAAGAATGTTTTGGGAAATATGTCGATAAATTTAACACGACTTTCATTCGCTCGGTTCTCTCGCATAGGATCCCGATAAGATTGCAGTCTAGTTATTAAGTCTGCACTCGTGGCCCGTGCTTCTCTATCAGTGGGCGAGCTGTGCCGAGCTCTACTACGAGCTACAAAGGGAATTCCTTAATCGGTTTTCTTATACCGTTCTGCAGACACGTCGCTGGTGGACTTCGTAAACTGCTCCGCGATGGCCGAGATTAAGGAACGCTCCTGCTTCATCCACGTGGACGTGCCGGGCCACGAAGAGAACTCGCCCGACCTGCCCGAGTCGTGAGTGTCACACTATTTACGCCATGCGGGATGCGAAAAAACATCTCATAGCTCGCCAGGATAGCGCTCTACATTTTGTTATCTATTAACGGTTACGTCAGCAATCGTATAGCAGGATTCGCACCCACGCCTCGAACACGTGAACCGTAGTCCAATCCCTTTACCATTGCTTGTGCAGTTGCAGCATTAGTGCGTGTGTGAGGCAGGTACCCGTTCCCGTCTCTCCAGACGCTTGGCGAGGACCTGGTTACGGTGCTGGACTTTCTGCGGGTACGATACGCAGTGGGGCTGGGCGAGGGCGCAGGCGCCAACGTGCTGGCGCGTTGCGGCCTGGCGCACCCGGCGCGCCTGTTGGGGCTCGTGCTCGTCAATTGCACCGCATCCACCTCCTCGGTGGCCGACGCGTTCCGCAGCCGCTTTTCGCGCTGGCGCGGCGCCGACATATCGCACTCGGAGGAGGACTTCCTAATCTACCACAAGTTCGGACACGTGAGTTCTCTGCAAGAACCCCTTCACTATCGCTACCAGGTTTGTTCTCTTTTGTTTGCTAACCTTTCCTATCCCGGCAAAGCTCACCCTGGTGAGTGACGTCGACTGCGACTTGCACCGACACCGACACTGATATCAGCACGAAACCAACACTTGACAGTGATTTTACATTTGCGGTATTTATATTCCCCCTCCCGTCCAAAAACATATTTTAGATCACTTCATAAATAATTCAAACTGTTTCATTGAGAAACACGTGAGTAATACATTAGTTGTCGGTGACTTTAACTTTAGCAACATAGCTTGGAATAAGACGGATTGCGGTAAAGTCATACCTGTTATGTCTAATAGCTTTATGTATAATACTCTGATAGACTTTATGTCAGTTAATGATCTCCTTCAATATAACAGTCACTTAAACAACAAAGAAAACATCCTATCTCTCACCTAAATATATCCGCTAATCCTCTTTCAATCATCGACCCCTCGCATCCCCCACTTGAGTTTTGCATAACACCACAATCCCAAGATAAGCTGCTCTCAACTTCTGAACCAAGATTTTACTTTTATAAGGCAAATTATGTAGAAATCACTAACGAAAAATCACTAAATGCCTAACTGTTGACGACATGGTTACGGTCTTCTACAAACTTCTAAGACCTGTTATAGCTAAGCACGTGCCCAAACGCTCACCTCGTAATCATAAATATCCAATATGGTTATCCACCTCATTGATTAAAATTTTAAAAGAAAAATCTAAATTTAGACAAAAGTTTCGTAAACATGGTAACCCTCGTGACTTGCTGACATTTCAATTACTAAGAGAGAGAGATGTAACAAAATTTACAAACTAAATTACAACAGATATTTGCATCAGCTGGAATCCTCGTTGACATCGAACCCAAAATACATATGGACATTTCTTAAACATAAAAGGAAAGGCAGTTGCACTTTTCCTTCCCTAATGACTGCAGAGGATCGAATTGTTACCAATGGACCCGATATTTGCAACCTTTTTGCGACGCAATTCTCGTCAGTTTATGCCTCCACTACTCCCACGATTGTTCCTAGTCAAGACGAACTCTGTGCGCCTACTGTCTCAAACTTTTTAACGTCCCTATCCGTAACTAGAGATCATGTGTACAGAGTGTTAAAAAGACTTGATTTTAAGAAAGGAGCGGGCTCTGATGGGATACCTGCTGTCTTTATCGTTAAGTGTGCTAGTGCGTTAGCTTTCCCTCTCTGTTTAATTTTTAATAAGTTCCTTACCTCTGGAATATTTCCGACAGCTTGGAAAGACACTTTAGTTATTCCGCTGTTAAAAAGTGGCGATGCTAGCTGTGTTGTAAATTACAGACCTATATCGTTACTCACTATATTTGCGAAAGTGTTTGAACAGATCATTTATCCACCTCTATCGTGGCATTTAAACAGTTAATCGCTCCAGAACAACATGGCTTCGTTAAAGAAAGATCCACTTCGACAAACCTGTTATCTTTTGTTGGGGACCTTGTTGAGGGTGTTGATGGTAGTAAATCTTTTGATGTAATATATACAGATCTCAGCAAGGCCTTCGACAAAGTAAATCACGACATTCTCCTGAACAAGCTCGAGTCATTTGGCGTATCTGGAATTCTGTTGCATTGGTTCAAATCTTATCTTCAAAACAGAACGTCGGTAGTCGTAATTGGGGGATACAAATCTAAATCGTTTACCGCATCTTCGGGCGTTCCGCAAGGCTCCCACAAAGGTCCTTTAATATTTAACGTGTTTTTTAACGACGTTACCCAGTGCTTTAGCAACTCCAGAGTCCTTATGTACGCTGACGATCTAAAGTTTTACAGGCAGATAAACTCAACTACAGATAGTTCTCTACTGCAGACTGATCTGGATCAACTATCTGAGTTGTGCAGAATTAGTGCTATGTCGATAAATATAAGTAAATGTTCCTCGGTCCATTTTTCTAGAACAAAATTATCTAATCCCCACACTTATAATATTAACGGCGCGTCTATTAACGTTGTTAACCATATTAATGACTTAGGTGTAACACTTGATAGTAAGTTGCAGTTTATTGTTCACATCGATAACATAACTAAAAAATGCTTTAAAACCTTAGGCTTCGTATTAAGAAACTGTAAATAATTTAAAAAAGCTCGTACAAAAATATGCCTTTACTCATCATTAGTTCGCAGCCGCCTGGAGTATTGCAGCGTGTATGGAACCCGCACTACGATATATATATTAAGCGTTTAGAGAGAGTCCAAAAAAGATTTCTATTGCATTTATCATTTAGCTACAACTTAGGGAAAAAACTTTCAACTTATGAAGACCGCTTAAAACATTTTCGTATGGAGTCGCTTTGCCACCGAAGAAAACAGCTCGATGCCATGTTTCTGTACAAATTGATCAATGGCTACACTGACGATTCTTACTTAATATCAAAATTATCCATCTCTGTACCTTCTAGACTACCCAGATATAAAAAATATAACCCGTATGTTACTAAGGCAGCTCGTACGAACTTAGGCCTTCATTCACCGATTAACAGATTGATGAATACATATAATGCTATGCATAACTCTTATGATGTAGAAAATCCTAAGCATACAGCGAGAAATAATGCGCCCCTAATCGACATTTTCTCCAATAAAATATCTTCTTTTAAAAAATATATCCGTAATGTTGCTAATTAATTTAATTCGTGTCCTCTTTTTTTCTTTAGTTTGTTATCATTTTTATTTTTTGTTGTTTTCACAATTGGTTTCACTCTAAAAAATTACAGTATTTTTTGTTTATGTATAAGGTTTTTGTGTTGTCTGTTTGTTTCATCATTAATCTCGCATGATGTGTACACCTTTAATTGTGATAAGTCATACACGAGACCATAAGCGCTGTGTTTGATAAAGTTGTAAGAACCTGCAGTAGAGTTAACAGTAACTACTTCTCTGATAACAAGCAAGTAGGTATACGATGCACACATATCATAGCATCAGCACGGCTCTACGACGAATATCTGTTTCCTTATACAACGTGTATGCATTTATGAATAAATCAATCGATTAAAAAACGAAGCGTAACGCGGTTAGCTAACCTCTAGAGGTTACCTAGTACCTAGGTACATACGTATATAAATACATACTACTCCATGTTCTTAATCGGTCGCATTGCTAGCAGTTAACCAGTAATTGACTCTAATTGCACAGCGGCCAGCTGTATCTAATGGCAATTTGTAAAGGACCGCCTGTTGTACTCTCATCAGCTTCTAATCTCTAAGATCTATATGTACCTGACTTCTGAGCCACTTCTCACGTTTTTCCGACCTCTATTTGGATTTCGAGGCTGGCTAGGCTGGAGAGAACCCAATTCAGGTTTCACATGTAATGGTGTTTCGAACACTCCAATTAAATATTCCTATTTTCTCTATGCGAATTATTGCACATTCAATATTTTCATTTACTAGATTATATTTATATGTATATTATAAAAAAGCACCAACAATGTTTAGACCGCGACGTGATGCTCGATATACGAACACATTGAAGTCGGAGTATTTTTCTCAATTTTCTTATTTCTCGAGCAACGTAATTTTGTAAAATGGCTATTTAACACATTAATTAGTTATGTATTGTTATTTATCGCAAGTAATTAGTTTTTTGTTCTAACAATTAACTTGGTGAGTATGAAGTGATTTTATTTTTTGCTCCTTAGTTCTTCGTAAGTAACCTTCACAATGATGGCGGTTTAATGAGTTCGGGGCGCTCCGGAAAACTTTTATTGATGTAATTACTTACTACTGCTGCTTTGGCGATAAACAATTAATGGCAATATTGTTGACTTACTTCCTGTCCGCTTAAGATGACCTTCATTTGGTCTTTGGCCTGTACGGTCCGCATCGATCCGTATTAAAGTAAATTTTCATATGGTTCACACTCTTGTCTGGTGACTCGTTGCGTGGTTTTAATTAGTAAATTATGCGAATTTCGACTGCTGTTACCCAGCTGTGCTAGGCTAGGCCCGCATTCGCGCCGCCCGCCTTGTGATACACCACGATCGACTTTATTCGCTGTCGTTGCCTACTTCGCATTGAGACTTCTTCTAGAAGTAGACCTTTCTTAGTTCTAACCAAGTGCCTAATCAGTCAGCTTCAAATTGCCTTAATTGTCAAAAGACATAGAGAAATATCGTCTCCAATATAATTGTTTTGTTGTCGCAGCAAATCCCAGGGGAGGGGGAGCGCGAGCGCACGCTGGCCGAGTACCGGTCGCGTCTGCGCGGCAATCTCAACCCGCACAACCTCAAACAGTACGTGCGCGCCTTCATCAAGTGAGCATCGCGTCATGCGCCCAGCGCCTTCCAGCGACAGCGGCCCTTGCAGCGCGTATCGTGTAACAGGTTTGCCTGTTTCGCCTTGCAGCCGCAAGGACCTGGTGTTGCGCGGCTGCCGGCCTGACCTGCTGCTGGTGACAGGAACGCGCAGCCCTTACGCCGCCGTCGTCGAGAAGATGTACCGCGACCTCGACAAGGAAAAAGTCACCATCCTCAAGGTGGACAACGCGGGCGACGTGCTCGCCGAAGCCGTGAGTCTCTTCCCTCTCTTCTGGCTCTTCTCCGTGCTCTGCACTGCTCCGGGTTTAACGAAGGGGTTACGTATAGGAAGGGGAAAGATTTTCCTCCGTCAGCTTTTTTTAAGCCAACGCATCTGCAACTGCAGATATCTTTGGGCAGTAGTCGCTAAGCTATTACAGCGAATTCTGGTGGCCATTTGCTCGTTTTCCACCTGATAATAAAAATTTCCTATTGACGTTTTTGTACCGTTCTTATAGTAGCATGGGGTGCGCCCGCACCGAGCGCTTTGTTCACGATGTGCCTGTTCCCTTCTCAATGAGTGTTTGTTGGCTTGCGGTGGTTCCAGCCGGCGAAGGTGGCAGTGTCGCTGCTGCTGTTCTGCCAGGGCCAGGGCCTGCTGACCTCGCTGCCCCCGCCCGGCGTGCAGCGCCGCATGTCGCGCAACATCTCTATGGAGGAGTACGACACGCCGAACATCCGCCGGCTGTCACTGACGCCCGCCGCGCCTCCCGCGTCCTCCGCGTCCACCCACACAGCGCCGTAGCCGCTGGGCCCTGCCGCTCCTCGGACTACTATTCGGTTTCACCTTTATCATACAATATCTTATCATGTCTCACCTTGGTGTCATTTTCTGTCCCTTGCTGTGTTTTCCAATAAATCTGTCAAACCAACCATGATAAGGGCGCCACTCTCACCGGCCCCGAGTTTGGCGGAACTGTACAGTGCGGATAGGATATTGTTTTATTTTGGTAAGGGATGCCTTTAAACTAATTTAAGGGACAGTTTCACTTTGCACTGGAAGAAAGAATGAATGTTTGTGCCAGCGCCTGGCCCGGAGCCAGTTAATTACACTCTTGTACTCATAAATATATTGCATACGGCCTTCGTCGTCGCGTCACACAAAAGTGTATGTCTGGAAAGCCAAAGTACAAATGTATATAGTAAGTACATTATATTTTGTACATCTTATTTTTTTGTAAATTATGTAAAAGTAAAGAAGCTTGTTGTCGTTTATAACGGTTTTATTAAAACAGTTCCCTTTATTTTGGTGAAATGTAGTAATTAATATAACATCCGCATCTCATTGATGTATTCATGTGAATGTAGAGAATGTCTTATGTTAGCTATTTGTGTTTATCTCATATTCTTACTTTAACGAGTTTACCTTTAACGGCCGGTTTAAACGGCAATATAAATAATCATATGACATGTTAACAATACTTACACTTTACCAAATGAAAATACTGCAACAACATCATTTTCTTAATATTTATATTATTATATATTTAAATATTATACGCCTTCATACGGCGTGGGCAATATATATATGAAAAAATTAAACATTTCATATTAAACATTTTTGAACGAATTTATTTTCTAGTGTTAAAACTAAAGGTTACGAAGGTGGATTCGATATTTCGCGAACACCTGATACATATATATATCACATACTTTAGCAACGTACGACGTCATTTATGCAAATAATGACATTTTCCACAACTCGTTTCTTCATAAACTTTTCTCTTATATAGTGTGTCTATTTAAGATAGAAGACCGGATGATTATTGGTAAAGTACTTAAACGCCGAGCCACAGAGGCTCTTCGTCAAATATATTAACAAATAAGTTAAATTGTCAGATAAAACGCATTTTTTTGTATTTTTCTTAAGTATGAATATCATGGCGGTTGGTTTGTACTGCACTGACACATACCTGTACAAGATACAATATTGTCACCTCTCTCTCTGTTCTCTTGGAACAAACGGAGATAGCAATATGTTTTCGCAGAGTTGTTAGTGTCGGTGTTTTGTTGGTTGCCTTGGTGTGTTGTTTGTGTGCCTGTGCTAGTCACACAAACAACACATCAAGGCTGCTCAAGGTACCTGCAGCACCTACATACCTACCGCAGTCAACACCGGTACTTAGGTACCTGTTCTCGTCATTTAATAACAAGTTAAAATCAACACTGACTACAACGCTATGACTAATTCAATGCCGAACATGGCAGCTTCGACAGCTAATATTAGTTTTATAGAAATGTTAATGCATTCGACGACTAATCTCGAAAATATACGTGTGTATAAGTTTACTTTTAAGGATTTTCTTTCTTCGCTAAAAATACTAAACTCTTCATCTTACTTTAATTAAACATTGGGAGTTCAATATTGAAGGTTATTTGTTAAACACTAAAACTCTGGTGAAAATAGTCATTTAAGGGTACAATACTTCGCCTAGAGTTGTTTACTAGGCAAAGATATTAACAACGAGGTACCTCGTTGTTAATATCTTTGCCTAGTACAGTACAGTCAAACAGTGTACAGTCCAACAGAACAACTTCGAAATTTTGCAAGCAAATTATTTGCCTCTTTTAATCTTAATGCCCTAAGTTGTAAGTGCTCAGTACTTGTGTTTCAAGAAAACACATTATTATAGTACTTTTCTACGCTGTATGCCATGCCACCAGGTCGCGAGTCGGGGTCGCGTGTTTTGTATCCTTGTTCGTTTGCTCGATATAAATGTATCTATACTGAGCAATGGGTCGCACGACCCGGTCTCGGTCTCGTTCTCGTTCTCGTTCTCGTTCTCGTTCTCGTTCTCGTTCTCGTTCTCGTTCTCGT